AGATTTGGTGTATATGGATTTTCAGAAAGCATTTGACAAGGTGCCACATAAAAGGCTTGATAAAACATTATCTCTATAGGTGTGAGGGATAAGTTAGCAAGTTGGATAGAAGAGTGGCTGAATGGAAGAAAGCAGAGGGCTGTTACAAATGGAGTTCAGTCAAACTGGATTAATGTCACAAGTGGTGTACCTCAGTACTCAGTCTTAGGACCTTTACTCTTTTTGATTTACATCAATAACATAGATGAAAGAATGGTCAATAAATTACTTAAATTTGCAGATGATATTAAGGTCTTGGGTGTTACTAGCTGAAAAGAGGATGCTGCTGATTTACAAAAGGATTTAGGTCATTTAGTGAGTTGGGCAAATAAATGGAAGATGGGTTTTAACTATAATAAATGCGATATGATGCATGTGGGTTTTCATAATTTTAATTATAAGTATAATTTGGATGGGAATAACCGTAACAGAGCTATGAAGGAAAAGAATCTTGGTGTAATAGTTGTTCAGTCTCTAAAACCATCCAAGCAGTGTGCTGTTGCTGGTGGTAGGGCAAATAGGATTTGAGGTTGTATCTACAGAAATATTGAATATTAGTCTAAAGAGGTTATAATTTCATTATATAGGTCACTGGTTAGGTTAGGCCACATTTGGAATATTGTGTTCAGTCTTGGGCTCCTTATCTTAGGAAAGACATTGAATTGCTGGAAATGGTTCAGAGAAGGGTCATACGAGGAGATATTGAAATCTCTCAAATTGTTTTCTTTTGAAAAAAGAAGAGTTAAGGGGGATCTGATTGAGGTGTTTAAGTTGCATCCTCTTTTTTTCATATTTAACAGTGAGATTAGTAGGACTAGGAGACACAAATATAAATTTTGGCGGGATAGGAGTTATCTTCAGTAAGACAGTTTTAGTTTTCTAACAGGGTGGTTGGCCTTTGAAATGGGTTGTCTTTGGATATTGTGGAGGCAGTAAATTTAAGTGAGTTAAGAGAAAGCTTGATAAATATATGAATGATAAGGGCTGGCTTTAAGATTTTTTAAAAATTTATTTATCAATACTTTTAGTTTAGCTTAGAGGATGGAACAGCCGAGATGGACCAATAGTTCCCATGTTGTTCCAAAACGTTATGTTATTATCAGCTACAGACGTTAGAGAGAACGATTAGACTACACTAATTACACAGGCCAGCAACGATTTTATTGCCTTGAAATGTTTATATGTTGTACAGTAATTCCTGTGCTTTAAATCCGAAAATGATATCCATTTTTTTCCATCACGTACAGATGTTTCACAAAACGTCATATGTATTTTTAGACAAGTGAATCATTTTCATTTTAATCGGGTCACATTTTGTTATGCTTAAAATGTTGACAAGCACTGGCTATAGATTTCTCTAGACCAATCGCGACGTGAGTGTCTTATTGATCGTTCTAGAACCAACGAGAAACACACAATAAAAAGAAATGTTTTTGTGGTAAATGAAATAATAATTTGATTCAAGTAAAAGTTTTTCTTCCCGATTTGTAAAAAGACCTTACGTGATAGAAAAAATAATAATGTTATTTTCGAAATCTGCGTAGCTGAATTATGGAAAATCCTTTATTAAAACCAAAACAACTTTTTTGAAGTTTAAATTCGCAGGCCTGTGTTATCAGCCTCAGACACTAGACTAAACCACACTAATTATCGGTTACAAACGATAGACTAAACGATTACACTACAGTAATTATTAGCCAGAGACACTAGACTATACGATTATACCACACTAATTATCGGTTACAAACGATAGACTAAACGATTATACTACAGTAATTATTAGCCAGAGACACTAGACTATACGATTATACCACGCTAATTATCGACTACAAACGTTAAGTGAAATATTATAGTAGCTGGCAAGTAAAATCTACGAAGCCAAGCCACCTGTGATATGTTGAATTTCGTATTAACTTGTTCCCAGGAAGTGGAGTGTAAGACGTTGTGTGAAGAATAGAAAGTGAAATCCACCATGGACCAGTTGGTTGTACAGCGTAAGATGCAAGATATATCTTGGTATTGTCTCTATAGCAACCATTTGAGAAACTGTCAATTAACCAAAAGTTGACCTCTAATGTTCGCCAGATACTACTGTATCTTTTATGTCTCAGAAAATAACTAATATAATTTTTCTTTGTTATTTTGTTTTTCCTATGTAGAAAAATAGAAGCCCCACAACTACACCCATGATTAGAGTACAGTTTAATATATTATAGTATAATTTTCTGAAGGTAAGTTTTATTTATTGTATGTCTTTTAAAAACACTTCATAAAAATGCTTCATTATTTTTCATTCTTGCATCTCCTTTTTTAATCAATATTCTCTTTCAAATTTCTATAGGTCTCAGAAAATTTGCCAAAGATTATAGCCTACTTAATAGACCATTGTCCGACTCTGTTTGGAGAAGATTCTCTACATTTGTTTGATAGTTACGTCGACAAGGACGTTTCAAGACAAGATTCTGGTGCAGAGGAGTCGGACAGTCTCCACAGTGTTCAGGGGATCCGAGGTTAGTATTCTGCTATAATCTATGCACATTACTCGAATATGATAACATTCTCATGCTATATCATTTATTTCATTTTGCAGTAGTTTTGTTAACTTTTTATTAAAATCAAATGCTTATTATTATTTTCATTTTTTAAAATAGTGATTCTGAAGAACATATATCCACACACATGTTTGAAAATAGGTTGGCTATTTAAATACTTTTATCAGTAAATTATTGAGATAATTCAGGTTTTAATATGATAATAGCCTAAGTATAATGGAGAAATAAAATAACATAAGTAAACCAATTCCAAATATATAATTTTGAAAACGCATATTGTACAAATTACGAACGAATAACATCACTTAGTGAAAATATAGCTTTTCTATGTAATATTCTGTTTACAAAATATCAACAAAACATTTGTTTACACTCACAAGGATACTTGGAAGACATCTGTGTACTGAATATTTATTTTCTAATAGGATACAGACAAGATGATTCTTCTATTGACAGTCTGGACAGAGATTTGGATGGCAGTGAGCCTAGTCCCAAACTACCTAATAAAAATAAAACGTCACTTACCAACCTGAGTCGGGACTCTGGCCTAACTCTGAGTGACACGCAATTATACACCCCCGAAGAAGAGGCAGACAGTCAGTTGTCTAATTCAGGGGAGTCCTATCGTAGTGGGGTGAGCCATCTTCTAACCAAAAGCACGCCACATCTGGATTCACTAGGATTGGATAATGGTCATACATGTGGTAAAAACGTAGGCATAAGCATTGATGGCTCCTGCAATGACGTCATGAGGAAACGTCGTTTAGGATTGGAGTGTTCACGCTCTCGTGCAATGAACAATGGTACTGGTAATCATTTTAAAAGTGTAAGTCAAGTGAAGTCACACCAACCTCTGCAATACTCCAAATCCTACACTTACAGTGGCCAAGATGTCCCAGTATTTGACTCTGTGAATGGCAATTTTAGCAATATAGTAAAACGCAGAGAAAAAAGAGGGCGCTCCGGACAATTTGTACCAATGTCAGCTGTTCAGATAGCAGATTTTGATACTAAATCCTCTTTACGTCGTAGTGCTTCAGAAGAGAGCTTAGCACAGGTCTTCACAAATCAATCCCCAACCAAACGGCCAGCCAATCACCGTAAAGGTCCAGCCCCGTCTCCTCCATCCACACAAACTCTGAAAATTGGAGATAGTAGTGTCGATAATACTCTTACCTCATTGCCTTTAAAAACTGACCTCTCTGCTTGGTCTCCTCGCCAAACAAAAAAGAACTTAGACTGGAAACGTAGTCAGTCTACTTCGAAAATAGATGAAATAGACCATTCACATGATTCTAGTACATTGTCGTTAGTGTCCAGTGATGACAGCACACCCCACGTGTCACGAAGTAACTCAAGGGTACAAGAGATGATGATCTGCAAGAAAAACATTGTTTGTATATCCCAGCAGAAGTCAAACCGCGTCAGTAGTGTTTGTAGCTCTTCATCAGAGACAAGTCAACAGACTCAGGTTTCCCAGGGTTCTAACAAGTCACAGAGTTCTTTGGGATCGCAAGGGTCTCATGTATCTAGCACTTCTCAGAGATCACAAGTGTCTCACAGGTCGTCAAGGTCACAGAGCTCAGAGGGCTCAAACCATAACGAAATGTATATATCGTCGAACAAGCCCACCGAGCCACCAACTTATAGGGAAGCCATTACCAGGAAAACTCATCTACGGACACAGGTAACTGAACAAAAAACTCTTAGTGCCAGGGCTAGGAAGTTGTATGAAGAATCTGTGCGTATTTACAATGAGCAAGTTGAGACAGTTGGCGAAACTCATTACGCTGTGCCAGTAAAAGTAGATAGTGGCGATGAAGCACTGTTAGAACCACCTCCACTACCACCCAAACCCTTACACAGAACTCCCAGCGAAGGCGCTGCCCTCCGATTACGCCACTTGCCTCCTGTTCATGTGAACGAGAGTCAGATTTCCAGCCACAGTCGCCGACCCAGGCAGTCAGGGTCACGTGTAGATCCACCTGAAGAGTGGCGAAATGAAATTAACTGGAGTGTGGCCCAGTTGCGGGAACTCTTCAACTCTCAGGCTTTTCAGGAAACATGTTCTGAAAGGGTAACTTCACAAGACCAACGCCAACCTCCTCCGTATCGCCCACCGCCTTACGTGTCTAAAATAAATGATGAAGGTTGTGTGACTGTGGTAAGAGTTGGAAGTAATAGTAAGGGCCAAGATTCCGTTATTACTGTTCATAAACGATCAGACTCAGTAAGCACGTGCAGTAGTAGCACAGGTGGTGAGGAGTCCTACGTTTAATTAACGTAAAACTCGTTCTTTGTACAAAATGTGTACTATATAGAGATTTCCTGTCTCGATTTAAATGGTCAGATCGGTAACATCGTACTATAGTATCCCATAATGGCATTTAAACCTACCAGCTTATCATATTTAGATAAGCTGTATGTAATAAAAACACCTTTTCTTCCTTTTATTTCGCACATAGGTAATAATCGCGATGTGAAACGTTATCGTCTTAATAATAAGTGCATTATTTCAGTACAAGTTTGTAATTATTGCTCGGGTTCTTTTCTAAATGTTTTAATAAACAATAGTAACTATTGGTTATTGTTGGTAACCACGGGTAAAAAGTAAACGAACATTCCCAGGGTTGTACATATAAATATATACGTATATATATATATATATCTTTACAAAACCTTCGTAGATTTGTTATGTTTTTCTATGTGGCAGTCAATAAGTTTTGTAACATCTTCTCTTCTGTATGTTGATATGTGAGCTATTATCAAATATATATATATTTGTATTTATCACAGGCAATCAAAATTGGTAACGACTGTGCATTTAAACATCATTGTGTACTAATAAAAATACAGTATTGTTTTATGATTCCCAACTCGGTATTCACCAGTAACGTGCAGAGGACATTAAAAGGACAGGGGCTCATTGCCCCCCCCCCCAAAAAAAAGAGTATTCTACAAGCATTGTAAGGCAAGACTATTTTTGAGGGAGGAATTGTTATGGGAGACTATGGGAATTGTGGGTTGTTTCTTCTACACATAGGGTAAAAAATCCTCTTTTTCTTCTCCTCAATCCCAAGTAGTTCAGTGAGGGGCCGGCCGGTAACTTTGAAAGCCAATAATTTTTATACCCGAGTAGTCGGTCCAGACGACAATTATATAAGACCGGCATGTCTGACAACGGGGATTCGAACTCTCAACCCTCAGATTGTGAGTCGAATGCCCTAAGCAGGCCCTGAACAGAACCTATTTAGCTGGTCTTATAAATTATTATCAAAATCTAAAACTAATCGGGGAATTATTGTATATTAACAATTAATATCAAATCATAATAACTAGTATTATTATTTTTTACTGTAAAGACTTGCAAATCCCTGTGTGCCATTCATTTTAAAGTTGAATTTTTTACCCTTAGTACTCGCAGAAAACAACGTGTGGAATCAGATGTGTCTTTCAGTAATTATGGGCAGTTTTATGACTGAGAAAAGGGGCACTTTGGGGGCAAAAGAGCCGAAAGGTAGGGGCTTGAGTTCACCCAGCCACCCCTCTGTGCAGTCACTGGTAATCACATTCGACATATGAATATAAAACTAAACATTGTGTTGAAAACTTCCCTCGTTTTTTTTTGTTTTATGTTGTTGTTGTTTTTGAAATAAAACTACTAACGTTGCTATATTCTACAGATACTCTGTCACTAAATTCAGTAATAGCTGTTTTGGAAGATCAAACCTCTTTTTTTTTTCTTCTTAATTCTAAACCTACCATCAAATTACAGGCGAGGGTTAGCCTGGTGGTAAAGCTCTAGATTTTGGAGCTGGCAAGCCGGGTTCGAATCTGTGCGTTATCGCAAAATATTCCCTATACTTTAAAACTGTGGAAGCATTATAAGAGTGACAGTCAATATCTTAGAATTGATGGTAGGATGCTGCTGATTGGCTTCCTGCTGATCAGTAGTTCAAAATTAGGGCAGGAGGAAGGTAGTAGCTTTGCCATAAACACAGAATAGAAATACCATTAAATTAATATCTACAGAAAACAACTTAGAATTACAAAATAAAATATGATATAACCTGTCTTTTGTTATAGATGGCGCCATATGAAGTTTGACTTTTGTAACATATGCGAAGACTTTTCACATTACACTAATTAAAATCTTAAATTTCTTGTCACAGTGATATTGTTAGATGCTGTAATAAATTAGTATTACAAAGAGCATTGTTTTACAACATAATTGAAATGTATAAAACTCGAGTGTGGACAGAATTGTGGACAAATGTCGTGGTTGTTGATTAACACATTTAATGAGCATGGCAATTATGTTTTTTTTTCTTTTTAAGATGAGTAGTGTGTCATCAGACATTTGTTGTAATAGGTGGAACAAGCAATATATCTTAACCAAAACCATCAAACTTAATTTTTTTTGTGATAAGCTGTTGGTTGTGCCTTATAAACTGTCCATTTATAAAATTATAATCTTCATTTGGCTCTTTAACCCTGTTGTTGATTAAATAAGTGTCATAACTTAATTTGTAAACTTCAGAAACAGAAAGGGCATCATGTGATTTTTGCTCAATTAATATTTTGGTTTTTGTATTGTAGCAGTTTGACGTATGTATGTATCATATGAGTGTACGTATATATGTTTGTATTGTATATCTATGTCACTAAACACACAGGTACTTTTTGCTAGAACTTTACACCGCCTGCTTTTATAAGCACAACAGTTGATAATCAGTAACATTGTTTCAGTTGGTGTCAGTTTAAGTCGTAATTTAATTTACCTTGTTTTAAAACGTCGTGGTTTGGGCAGAAAAGAAATAGATTTGGTTCTTTATAGTTACTATTATAAAATTCTCGCGCTCCAATGACGGCTTTAAAGACCCCCTCATGATGTAGAGAGGCCCTAATGTACTGATTAAGCTCCTCCGTTATCCCCAATTATTTATATAACTATCCTAAGGGGACCTTACCCGAAAACAAATCTTGTTAAGACACCCTCTCGTTGTACTTGAGTACGTATGCTGCGCTTGGTCCCGCTAGCTTGCGAGAGGAGATATAACCACAGTTTCAAATATGGTAAATGGGGGACCAGAAATGCAAAAATACAATTCCAGATTCGGGTTCATCGACCCTGAAAACTTATTCCTAGACCCCAATCATTCCTGGTTGACCTTCCAGACGCCTTTTAGCCCGTTGGTACCTCAAATAAATAGGGGGTAGGAGTTGCGCCATATATATAAGGATCTCCCGGGCCCAACTTGAGTCCACCTACCATGTTTAGTCCTGCTAGTTCTTAAACTCTGGAAGGAGTTTGTAATTAAACAAATTCTCAAACTTGCAACGTGAATTAATAGGCTAAGAACATTAAACCTGACAATGAAACGTATGGCATAGATATGAAGCAAAATGATATGTTACGCGTTTAAACATCCTGTTAATTTATGTACGTGCATTTATTTCACCAGACTCATTCCAATATCAACCCTAAAGTTTTAAAGGGTTGTAAACCTCATAATCAAGAGTCACAAGAAGGGTTGTTTAATCACTCTCTTTTTTACGATGTGTTAAAATGTGCAACTGAAATTGAAACTAGCTAGATTACTTGCTGTGAACATTAATACAAAAGGCTGTATTTAATATGTATGTGAACAACTTGTATATTGTATGTAAAGTAATAAGCAGGAAAGACGATGGAAAATTATTATGACAAAATTTAAGTCGTCGTTGTTACCTGAGACACCAAGTTTACCCACGAAAACTGTTTTACATAAGATGCATAATGTTTTTCAGTGTAGTCATTACAGAGTTTTGTTTTTGTTATCTTTTCTACTTGCGGAAGCTTTTGTACTTTTTAAATATACATGCCAGTCTATTGTACAGTAATGGTTAGGCCTATCTTTACTAACATTTGTATAGCAAATATTTTAGTTATTAAAACTGCGTTATGAACTTAGTGCTCAATATATATTTTTTGTTTCTTTATTTATGAACAAGAAGTTTTAAGACCCAAGGGTATCACATAACGGGAACATTACAAACTATTGTTCACGCTATAAAACATAATACAACACCAAAAAAGGAATAAAAAAACTTCTTGGAACAAGGAATCTCTGAATGTGGCGATTTTATGTCATTAATTTCTCTACCTTAACAACTAAAATGTTCAATGCCACTTTATTATCACCAAAAGACACAATGATTTGGAAAATGTCAAACTAAGACTTTTCTGCGAGTTCCTATTGGTTAAAAAGTGATTTTTCTGACAAATATGTAATAAGATAACTTAAGTTCCATTTCAAATCAAATGAATATCGTTTCTTGAATTGACAGTTTGTGTTTGTGAACCATCAGTTAACACTAAACTCCCATACCTCCGTTTATCACTATCACTATATCAGAACTCCTGTTAACTTATGTAATTATCTGTAAGGTAATCCTTATTATTTCACTAAATGGAATTTAAAGTTTTACTTTGTAAACACTGGCTTCTGTACAATTAATGCATATTTTACTTTGAAGTGTAGTAATTAATTCTTGACAATACCTGAATCCGTCTGTCTGTTTCGATACTGATAATGACATTACATTTTAAACTTTATTATGTTTCAATAATATCGAAATAATTACGTTTACGTGTCAAGAAAGTTAGAATTTAAGGTACTTTGTGTTTGGTATTGGAAAGATAACTTACTACAATAAACAATATTCAGACACTGGGCAAACTTCTTCAATTGAATTAGGTTAATGATTTTTGTGTCAGTTTTTTTAAGTGCATTAATTTCTTTAGAAAGTAATATATGGTCATGAACTATATTTTATACTCTTCAAATCATGGTTTACCAGTGATTCAACTAGTTCTATCTTTAAAGAGGATTTGAGATTTATAATTAGTTGCATAAAGTAAAATGCCATGTTTAATGTCATTCAATTTCTTTGTTGTTAAGCACAAAGATACAGAATTGACTATCTGCACTATTTATACCAAAGGGAATCGAACCCTGATTTGGAATTTACCAAAAACCGTTTCCTTGCTCAGCTGCTCAAAGACATCAGTTAGCAGAGCCTATCAATACTGACAATCGAGAATAACACGTGTTTGTCACTAAAAGAAACTAGGTTCCAATTGCCGGTAACAGGCCGAGAAAAAAGGACAATCGAATATAGTTGTAGTGTGCAACAGCTATCAAACTATATTCTCCCTGACCAATTGACCAGTTTCTTCAAGAGTAACCGGATTTTAACTATCTCCAATTGTATTATGAGAAGGGCATTACAAAAATTGTTAGGCCCGGCATGGCCAGGTAGTTCGACTCGCAATCTGCGGGTCGCGGGTTCGAATCCCTGTCATACCAAACATGCTCGCCCTTTCAGCCGTGGGGGCGTTATAATGTGACGGTCAATCCCACTATTCGTTGGTAAAAGAGTTGGCGATGGGTGGTGATGACTAGCTGCCTTCCCTCTAGTCTTACACTGCTAAATTAGGGACGGCTAGCGCAGATAGCCCTCGTGTAGCTTTGCGCGAAATCCATAACAAAACAAACAAAAATTGTCATATGACAGCTGGTAACTAGTTGGAGGAAA